GGAGGAAAGCTATGGCAAATCTAGACAGCATACTAAAAAGCAGAGACATCACCCTGACAACAAAAGTATAGTCAAGGCTATGGTTTTCCCAGTTGCAATGTATGGTTGTGAAAGTTGGACCATAAGAAAAGCTGAGTTCCAAAGAATTGAGGCCTTTGAATTATGGTGCTGGAGAAGACTCCTGTGAGTCCCTTGGATTGCAAGGCAATCAAACCAGTCAGTCCTAGAGGAGATCAACTCTGGCTGCTCTTTAGAAGGCCAGAACCTAAAGATGAAGCTCAAATACTTTGGCCACCTAATGAGAAGGAAGGACTCACTGGAGAAGAATCTAATTCTGGGAAAAATGGAGGGCAAAAGAAGAAGGGGACGATAGAGAATGAGGTGGATGGATGGAGTCACTGAAGCAGTCGGCTTGAGCTTAAACGGACTCCAGAGGATGGTAGAGGACAGGAAGGCCTGGAGGAACGCTGTCCATGGGGTCGCGAAGAGTTGGACACGACTTCGCAACTAACAACAAATTCTTATTAACATTAACAGTGTTAATATTAAATCATAGCAATATGGGGGGGGGGAATCAATAGCTGAAACCACATTCTTCTTTAAGTCACGAATTGAAGTTGAACCCAGGGCAGCGTCTCACCGCTCGGTTTAAAGCAGTTCCAGGAGGTTCTTTTCCCAACTGCAGGCTAAGCGAGCCTTCCTTCCACCCTGGACCGGCTCTGGAAATGAGAAGCAGCCCCAACAACCCGGAGACGCCAAACTGGGGCAAGAGATTAGAAGATGCATTTCGTATTCACGCGCTTACTTATCCTCGTTGTCCGACATGTTGAGGCCTTCCCTCGTTCAGCGCAGACCCTCGCGGTGTCAATTCCCACCACCAACCGAGCGGCCTGGTGGGAGACGCGAAGAGCCCCGAGAAAACCGCCACCGGCAAGGAAGGAAAAAGAAAAAGATAATACATCCACGCGCTTCCCGTCGAAGAGCACGCAGAGTGCGAACACTTCCGGGGTCAGAGTTGATATTGACGGAAACGAGTGCCGGAGGTGGTTGTCATGGTGACGGGAGTCGCCAATTCGGGTAAGAGAAGGGGGAAGTGGGGGGACGAGACTTTTCTTGTTGCAAACCTCTCTCGCTTCTCACTCCGTATTGTTATCCCTCCAGAAAAGGGAGCCGTGATCGGACGTAAAATCGGCTACTGTGGGAATAGCTGAGATGGGTGCCTGCAAGCCGAGAAAGGCACGATTTCACGTGTCCGTTTTAGATGCTGGGTTTGCACCTCCGCTACCTTAAATTGCACCGTGATGTCAAAGTTATGATTAGGCTGTGATAAGACGCTGGGTACAATTGTTGTGATCGCGAGGTAGCACAGATGTCTTCAATTCTTGCCTTTAAAAGTCCAGTTCGCAGCCCATACATATTTTACAATTGGTCTACAGGTAATACATAACTTATGTCCACAAATGAGACCAAAATTTCTGTTGCTAAGTGAGACGGTTGTTAAGTGAGTTTAGCCTCATTTTAAGACCTTTTTGGCCACCGTTGTTAAGTGAATCATTGTAGTTGTAATATGGTTGCTAAGTGAATCTGGCTACCCCACTGACTTTGCTTATCAGGTCGCAAAAGGTGATTACCTGACCCTGGAACACTGCAACCATCATAAATATGAGTTACCATATTTGCCAAGCATCCAAATTTTGATCATGTGACAATAGGGATGCTGCAACAGTGATGATAAATGTGGAAACTGCTCCTAAATTCAGTGCCACTGTATTGACATGGGCAGCATAGAAATTTAATAAATAGAATAAAATATGGCAAATGAACATTGGTGAAAGAATCACTAGAAAAAATAAAGACAGAATATGTGTGAATTGTGACCTTAATTTCTCTTTATCAGTTTCTTTCAGAGTACTATATTACAATGGCTTCTCAAGAGAGGATCAGGCCTGTGATAAAAGGAAGTGGATTTTGGCATGTTCCCACTGTGAAGGAATATAGCAAGGAAACGCAAGAGTTGTTAAAAGGTAATCAGGAAGCAGAATCGAAAAGTATCCCAGGAAGTAATGCTTCCCCATTCCTGGTTATTATCTTGCTGCATTTTAAATTACTACCGCTTTTTGTGCAAATTGAGGATGAAAGTTAAGGATCCCTAGTCTTTGATGATTTTAGTAACTAGTGACTATAGGAAAACACCTGTGTTGAATTTCTTCATTAATATGAAGAAAGCAGCTAATCACAAGATCTGGTCATGCTAATAAAGTTATAAGCTGAAAACCAGTTACAGAAAAAAATACAGCCTTTTGAATACTACTTGTTTAAAGTAAAAAATCCAGAAAAAAACTTCACTTTGGATTTTTGTATTCCAGAATAACCACAATAATAAAAATAATAATTTTGGAGAGAAAACCTATTGTTGCAATTAATTAGATATTCTGAAAAAGGGGGTTGAATATACATTACATTATAACATTCTACAACTGGATGTCCTTTAATTATATTTATATCAAAAAGAGGGCAGGAAGATATCTCATTGGAAAAGGCTGCTTACAGGTAGATTGGACTGTACTCTTTTAGCATTTGTGGTATCTGTGCTCAAGATTTGGCATTCCTTTTTAAATGAAGATACCGTTTGGGTTAAATCTGTTTCTGCAAAGGGAGTGATGTAGTTACTGATCTGTATAGATATCTTTTTTCTCTTTCAGTGATGATGCAAGAATCTAAGCTTACTTGTTTCCAGCAACGCCATCTTGTAAATTGCATGAAACGTAAGTATGGCTGAAATTTAGCTTTCTTTTAAAATTTGGCTCCATGAAAGCCATTTAGTCCTGGCTTTCAGATTTCTAAATTTAATTCAGACGTATGACTTTCTCCAGCTAAAGAAACAAACCATCCTCTTGCAAAGGAAATTTATATAAACTCAGGAAGTGAACTAAACATTAGTGGAAAACTGTAAATCACAGATAATGAATACTTCTTAATAAACTCTAGTTTAGGCAACTCTCTAGGACGATAAGAAATCTTCTGTAAAAGTTTGGGATTTTCAGCATGTACTATAAAGGTAGGTTGAGGGACTATTTTAGTTTTAAACACTTCTGAATTCATATTAAAACATGAATAATTCCTATTATGTTTTCTTTTATGCATTTACAAACAAGCCAATTTACAGAATCCCTCCTGAAATATTAAATTGGAACTCATATTTATACCTAGCAATTTTAACTTGGGGTCAAATCTAGATACTGCCAAGAATACTGCATGGAGGTTTCTAGAAGTTGCCAGAGACTGAGCTTGGCTGAAAGGAGACACTTGCCATGTGCACTTAAAATGGTACATGTATGCCATCAACTTTACGTTTAATTCCTTTCCAACCAATCTCTGCCCTTCTTTCTTAGGCGGTGATGCTTTACCCATACACTGTTATCCAACATCCAGCAGAGAACCAGAGTTTCCGAAGCTTGTATTACCAAAAGTTATTTTGACCACCAGTCCCTTTGGCAGACCTCACCTCAGGCCTGCAGAGATCTGTCGTGCAGGAAATGCATATATCAGAGAAAAATTCAAGCCTCAAGCCACTCGTAAGCAAGAAACATTTACAAATGATAAATGAAGGAATGGAAAGATCAATAAGAATAATTATACTCATTATTATTTACAAGTAATCTTTGTTTAGCTACTGTACAACCTGGGCAGCAACCACTTGTAGTTACAACACTAATGAAAATGTAACCTTGCAACCCATGACCACATTTATGGCCTTCAAAGCTTCTCTAGGTCATGTGTTCACCATTAAACACGGTACATGTTGCGTATTGCTTGACCTGCTTTTCTCTCTCTACCTCATTCACAATGCGGATTGCCTAAACAAGCTATCTCTTCCTGAGCTGCTTCTATCTTCAGTGCAGAGGGTCACTAAAAATGCAAACCATGATTTAACCACTCTTGCCATTTTAATTACTTCATTAGAATCCTGGATCTGCACAGTTGCTCCCTGAAATTGACAAGACTATAATCAATGTCTCAAAGCTTTTTTTGTCCCCTAAGTGGTTCAGCACTCCTAAGTGTGCTAGGCAAACAGCTTTATTCCACTTTGTGTGCCTGCTTACTTCTTATAATCTCTTCTTCTCCAAACATGAATTCTCTAATTCCTTTACTAAATTATCCCAGTACTTGAGTGAGCTTCCAAAATGGTAAAAAGGAGCCATAAGATTTGCCCTTTTACTTGGCTTCCTTATGAGTCAAGTTCCAGAAACCTTCCCTGCTGTTTGAAATGACCCAATTGTTTGGGATCATATCCTTTTGATGCTGTAAAGGAAAGCTGCTCTAAAAGTGCAAGAACAGTCACGTATTTTTTCACTTAGCTACCACTTAGCTACCATGCTTAATGACTTGAGTTGGTCCCAGCTACAGTAGTTAAACAAGGACTATCTGGTGAAAGGATTAATGTTCTAAGTCAGAGGTGTCAAACTCGCGGGCCAGATGTGTCACATGCTGGCCACACCCACACGTTTTAGCAAAGAGGGGAGGAAGTGACAGTACATGACGCCCGCATGACAATGCGAGTTTGACACCCCTGTTCTAAGTAATCTGCCAGATTAGTGCAACACTTCAGAGAGAAATGTCTGAGAAAGAAAATGATAACCAAGGAAATGTCTTGTGTGGGGAAATACTATCTCCAGAATTCTCTCCACTTAGCAGTTTCAACTGCTGCCACTTGAGTATCAAGGTTTATTTGTATTCCTTTGCTTAAACATTTTAAAGTTACCTTCTTTTGAGCATAGTCTGTCCTTTATGTTTTATATTGTATGGTAATTTTTATTTACTATTTAGTAGTTTAGGATAAGAATAGTTCAACAAGAATAGTTTTCCTAAAATATATAAATGCCTGAGATTTGAATCAAATCAAACCATAACTGCTAAGCATCAAGCGTCAGCAATCCAAATTCAAATAAGTCCATGGTCCTTCTTCCCAACTGTGAGCTGGCAGGAGGGGGGGGCAGGATGGAACATGACAGTAAGCTATTCCCTCCAAGAATGCTGATCAATATTTTCATAAACAGTAATAATATCTCTTTTGTATCTACAGGAGACCTGGAGAAAGAGAAAGAAAGACTGCAAAACATCTTAGCAACAGGAAAGGACAAAGTAGAAAAGAAAACTCGTCCAGTCAAGATAGAAGAAACAGTACAAGAGATGGACCGATTCGATGAATGTAAGTGAAGTCATTAACAAGTTTAAATAGTATACAGGGAATTAATGTAGCATATGTTCCAATGCTGTTGTTTTCATGTTGATGTTGTTGTGAGCCTCCTAGGGTTATGGCCCATAAAATGGGCTGCTACAGAAGTCTTTTAAATAAAATACATGGGAAATTAATGATTCAAACTTCAGAAGAACTATGTTCCTGCCCTTTAGTGTTTCATTCCATATTGCTTCTTTTGTCTTTATGCTCAGTGGTGAATGAAATTCAAGATCGACAAAATTTCCTGGCAGAAATGGAAGCTTTGGGACAGAGCAAAGTGTATCAAGGAATTATCCAGACTGAAATATCACAGGTACCTGGTAATTTTGACCTTTATAGGCTTAAATGCAATCGTTTTTCAATATGAAAATTGGATACGATCATGATTTTTTGACAAAGTAGGGAAAGATTTGGCAGAAGGGCATGTGTGTATCTAAAGTGAAAATGAACCTTATACTTCTTCATCTAGAGTAAAACTTGTGTATTATCTTGTAAGAAAATTAAAATTTATTGAATTCTTACTATGTCTCCTTTCTCTGCTGTTTGCAGATGCTCCGGGAGATGGAGATGATAGACAAGCAGAGAACTGCAGAACTGAAAGGGGCAATAGCCAAGTCTTTCAATGTAAACATCAAACATGACAATCCAAGCACAGGTCAAGTAGACCAATAGTTCTCCCCACACTTACACCCAAGGATTTAACTCCTTCACTCTTTTTCTGCTGACATAAGTGAATGTGAAGAATATCTTACCAGTACAGTTTTGACCACCTTGTGGCAAGTATCTGTAGAATATATTTAATCTCCTAGGAATACTGTATGAATCCTGAAAAGTAGGAATAACTTGTTTCAACATGTAATGGCAGTTAAAAAATGTGATCCAGAAACAAAAGGGTTCAAATGAATCATTGGGTTTACATTCTTGCCTTGACAAAAAAAGAGAGAGAAAGGATTTCCACATATTTCATCTCTGGAAGACAGCATCTGTGTTTCTATCATTTATGTGCTCCTGCTTTTTAGAATTAGAACTGTACAACTATTAGAATAGATCAAAAATATTTATGTTATGATTGTGCCATCCACTGATGCTGCTGCTTCCAGTCAAAACGGCTATTTTTCACTCGTCATATAAAGTGTTAAGCAAACAGTGGTGACTGTTGTATTGGACTATGAAAGGGAATCGGAAGGCTTTAGATGGCACTTATTTTTGATGAATGCTTCTTCAGTAAAATTACAGACTTAGGACATCTTCATTATGACTGTGACTATTTATTTACATGTCTGTCACTTGTTAAAAGACTTAATACCACAACAGCAAATGGGTGGGTAGGAGTAAGGGATGTTTTTCTCATTGGTACACTTTTTGCTTTGGTCCAGCAGCTCCCTTTTGATAGCTATATATTATTCAACTTGTAAAAAAAATAAAAGTCTTAAGAATTTTGTGATTTTCTACTTTTTAACCCCTGTACTGTAATGCTTTCTGTCCACTTCCTGCCAAGACATCTCAGACTATAGAAACAAACACAACAGATACAAAATATAGGGTTTTATCAGTTTTATTATTTATTTCATCTGTGCCCATCAGTGGAGATTGCAGTTAACACCGGGTAATTATGTTCACCATGATAATTTCTGATGGGAATGTATCTGAGGACATTTTAAAAGATTGACTTGTTTTACTTTATAAAAGGGAGGGCTGTGCATTGGACAATCTTGTAGCTGAGAGCAAGAATTAGATGGTGGCTACTGTACTTATAGAGCAGGAGTGTCAAACTTGTGTCATGTATTATTACTTTTTTCCCCTTCGCTAAAATGGGGGTGGGGGTGGCCAGCGCGTGACGCGTTCACCCTGCAGGCCACAAGTTTGACACCCCTGTTGTAGAGGCTGAGAAGGTGGTCCCAATCAGAGCTGACACCACCAATGAATTCAGTTCTGCTTTGAAAAGGTCTAGACCTTAACTGCTGCTTTCCAGATGTGTTGAATTATCCATCATTCCCAAACTAGTATTAACATGACATACTGGCTGACCAGATGGAAATGGTAGCATAACACATCTGGAGGGCTCCAAGTTAGGGAGGGCACTCCAGGCTGAATATCACAGTCAAGGACTGTTTGCCAGTTTGTCACATTTGAATAAAGCAGCACAGCATTTGCTAATGAGAACTCAAACCAACATCTACAATATTATCAACATTTAACTCAGACCAAACAAACATCTCAATAAATAGTCCCTCAAGTTAGAGAAGCCAGAAGAGGAAAAAAATAGACATTCTCCCCTCTGAATTCATACATACACACAAAACTAAAAAAAAAAAAAGCTGAAAGTCAGATAGAGGGAGTTTGGCTACAAAAATTGTAAAGATCTTTTGCACTCTTAGGAAAAAAAAACATGCACATAAACCCTTAGGGGAGGGAGCTAAGAAGAATTACAGTGGTACCTTGTTGATATTGAAGACAGCTTGACATCCTCTTCTGGCTCTAATGTTTGGCAGGCAATGAGTTATTGTCTCAGCCTGCTGTGTCCCCTGATATAAATAGCAGCAGAAGCAGAAGCAACTAAGAGGGTTAAAAAGATCCAGTTGTTTTCCATTCACACCTGCACAAATCTATCCTCCGCAATTTGCTTTACAACAGAGGTCAAAGCTGCCTTAGTCTTTCCTCTGGTTTGTTAACTGGTTGCCAAGAGAATTGGCATTCACAGCATAATATCTTCTTTGGTGGCAGAGAAATCTTCCAGAAATAAGAGCACTGGTTAGATTTTTGGCTGTTTTTACTGACTTTATAATAGACTTCTATGGTCAAAATATTTTAAAAATTTAAGACAACAAAAATCTGCCCTGAAAGCCCAATTATTATTATTATTTAATTGAATGATCAAAGAGGAGAAAAAGAATAAGAAAAGGAATTCTAGAGAGATAACCAGAGGCTCCCCAAACTACAGTGGGGATTCCCTTCCTCCTCCCTCCCTCCCCCAAAGAGATTATTAGGCACATGTGACTATCACAGTTAAAGGAGGAGGACAATTAGTGCAACTTCCCCCAAAGCACACATGATTAAAAGTTCTGAACAGTCAAAGATATAATAGGTGCACAACTGAGGAAGTCTAAAGCTATTTTATTTGTCCATTCCCATCCCCACCTTGAAAGAGAAAATGGCAAACAGCTTCTTCCACCATGTCTGTCCCGCTTTGTAATGTGCTCATAAGACTTGCCATATTTCCCCATTTTCTAACACCTGCTGCTGTGGAAGGTGGTTGGATTTTTCCGAGATAAAGCCAGCTTTGGTGTATGGCAAGGCACAACCTCTTTAAAAAAAAATGGGCAAAAGCAGGAAGCCATCCTACTTGCTAGGCACACCCAGCTGCTTTAGCTTTTTTCCTTGGGGGATCTGCTTTTTGAGTCAGGCTTATTTCCAAGTAACTTCAGCACTTTCATTGGTTTGAATTTTCCTTTCTTCTTGCTGTCAGCCTCAGAGTCCTTGCGAAATTCTGGAGAGAGAAAGAGTTAGGGTTAGTGGCATGCAATGTAGAGGGGCATAGAAGGCTCTCTTAGAATCAGCCAGACTACTCAACTGTCTGCTTAAACTGAACAAAAAGCTCTTGGTTTTTTCCTAACGCTACCACATCAAGCACTGAACTAACACAAGGTCCTTCCTATAATACATGGAATGATTTTCTTAGACCACAGATGCTTAAGCAAAGCATCCAGAAAATGCCTCAATGACAAGATTTACAGGAATGTAAATTTTATATTTTACATTTAATGACTAATATTCCAAACGTGTACATGGATCTTATCTAAGAATATAAATCCATTTATCTGCATGTTTTCTAAAACTTAGATCATCTTGGAATCATAGTTAGCAAAGTTTACAGAATCTGCAATTGTGTTCAGATTTTCCCCCCATATTGGATTAAGAAAAAAAAAGATTTTGCAGGTGGGAAATATTAAGACCACAACAGTCACTGAACTTATTCATTACTGAATCTGCGCCACTCTGGGAATGAAAATAGAATCTCAATTTAGAATTATTGCACTGTACCCTTAATCTGTCCCATCCAGATATATGCTGTGATTCTCCGGGTCAAAGAAAAAATCACGTTCGCTTGACAATGAACTGTTCTTGTTACAGAACAGATTCTAGCTTTTATGACAAATCACAAAAGATTCTGGGTTTCCAATATTTTGGGCAGAACTTCTATGCCTTCTATTTGTTTTTGCTCCACAGCTAGCAAAATCAATGTAAAATAACACATTAAATGCATGTCCCTGAAAAATATTCATGACATATTCTTTCTTGTTGATGTATTTGCTTCAAAAGGAAGGAAGATTGCCCTCTTCTTACACTGGCAGTGGAAGAGGAAAGCAGATTTAGATTCACTGGTCCAGTGCCTCAGTTTACCTCCTCTTTTCACTTAACTTTCTTAACTTTCTTAAAATAAACGTTATTTGCTACTCTCAAGTGTTGGCAAAGGGAAAGAAACTAAACCAACACCTCTTCCCTCTTCCTTGACTCATGGTAGCAAATGTGCTGCCTCTTTTGACAAAGATTCTCCCTAACAACAGAGAAGTGTGCCAACACCATATATTGCCAAAGCCAATTTAGGATGGAGAAACATTACTTTGTATTTCCCATTTCTAATTCATTCCGTCTACAAGGAACAAAAAGTATATTTTACTGCTAAGGTGTATTGTGGGAAACAGGATAAGTTACCTATTTGGTTTATATTTTATACCTAATTATACAGTTAGCTTGGCTTACAGTTGTTACGATAGAAGTGAAGTTGGTATGGATATAAACATTAAAGATATTTTTTACAGAAGACAAACATATTTAATAGTTAAACAACAATATCAGTGCATCATTCTGCAAAGAGCAGCTGCATCTGAGACTGGGAAGTCTGAATGACTGGACTTCATTCTTCTTACCTTTTTTTTTAATCATGGCTTCCAACATTTTATCCTCCTCTTCCTCCCTGGCAAAACAATCAGATCCTGTTTTAGTCAACATAGCCAAAGTGACACTGGTTAGAACAAGAATTATGCTCCTAAAGCAGCAATGAGCTGCTATTGAGTGACCAAAGTCTATGTTTAATATTTTTCAAGTGGGTGAAGGTCTAAATAGGGAAAATTCATCACACATATGCTGCTGCCTGGGTTTTCCGTATTTTTTTTAAAAGTTTTTAATTCTATGGGGCATTTATTACATTTTGTGAATGTATCCTTTCCTGAAAAGATAGCTAACGGTGGCAGGGGATTCCAGAAACTGCATATTGCCCACCCCTCTCCTAAAAACTAATACACTACCCTTTTGCCCAAGTTGCTAATGCCACCTGGCTTAGTTTATCAAAGAATTAATGGTAAGAATCAGACATGCAATTACGGTATGCTTTGCAGTGCTACAATCAACATTTCCCAGGCCAATTGTTTTCAATTAACCAAAAATACAGTCACAGTTAGCTTTTCCTTTCACTACCTTTGCCGATCCTCATCCAGACTGTTAACAATGGCATTCCGTTGTTCAATAATGGTTACAAGCTCTTCCATCAATACCTTCTCTCTGATCCGGTCATCATCTGTCCAGTCTTTATCTAGCACCCGAAAGAAAGAAAGAAAGAAAGAAAGAAAGAAAGGAGGGAGGGAGGAGGAAAGAAAGAAAGAAAGAAAGAAAGAAAGAAAGAAAGAAAGAAAG